GAGATACTCTGGATTCCCAAGTTCGCGTATCCTATTACCTTTTATCCATAAGTTACCAGTCATATTATTTTCAGAACCACCTCCACGTGTGACAACATTATTTTCTACCCAATTCTTAGACATAGCAGATGTACTCAGTGGCGTAACGGGAGGGTGTCAGGGTGTCCAGAGACGGGGACCCCCGAACTTTAGGGGCCCCCAACAAAAATGACCTTAAAAAATTTGATAGCACATTTCTGGGGAATTGAATTAATTGAATTGAATTGAATAAAAAAAACCCATTCTCTGGAAAAGGCAAAATCCGTCGAGAAATTTCCCGAAGCTGCGACGGATTAAGTACGTCGCGGCTGAGGTAAAGGACGAGATACTAGAATGAATTAATTGTAATTTCATTGTGTATGTCCGGAAAAAATTGGGGGGGGGGAGGTCGCCAAAAATAAATTGTTCCGAGAAAAGTTTTTGGAGCCTATTTTTAGTGTAGCAAAGGGGCCCAAAGTGGCCGATTGACGGAGGGCCCCCAGCGGTTGCGTTACGCCACTGGATGTACTAGAACTAGGGTCACTAATATTTTCAAATTCATATCCACCCATTTTAAGATTACCTCTCATTATATTTAAACCGTTACGATGAACGTAGTAACCCAAGGTTTTATCTAGAAGAGCTTTCCTTATAAGACCACTTGAAGTAGAGGCATCTTTACTTGAATGTGGAACTTCATCCAACTGAACACTACCACGAATAAACTGATTATTACCCCCCCCAGACAGCTTAAGGAAGCTGCCGGTGTTTGAATTAAACCATCCCTTACTAACGGCAGACCGGTCCTCAGATGGGTCCTTAAGATTCTTAATCTCATGGTCCTTCATATCAATATCACCAGCAATATTAAGTCCAGATACAGGTCTATTTAGCATGCTAATTACCCAGTCCTTATGAACTGCAGACTTACCCGTTGTAGGATCACCTAGTGTCACTATTTCATTGGAGGCCATGCTAATATTACCTGACATTGATCTTGAACCGTCCAGTGGCAGGAACTTACCATTTGACCACTGATATAAATAGAAACGCAACACTGCACTATCATTTCTACTTACCGTAGTGGGGAGGCCCTGTACTTCAAATCCACCCGCATTCAGTACACCTTTCATCTTATTGAAGCCATTTGTGGCAAGATAGTTGTTCCATGCATACGTGTGCACGTACTGTACGTTGGCAGCCTCACTAAAGTCACCCCCATCGGACTTAAGATTGGTTACCTTATTATTTCCCATATCAATGTTACCTGTCATTGTAAACCCAGCTGGTTGAATTGTAGCAGAAGCCTGTTTAACGATCTCATCATCCACCCACTTCTTTGTGACCGCAGACGTATCATCAGTAGGTGCACCTAAACCCTTCACCTCATTACCATCCATCTCAATGTCACCCTTCATGGTAAGTCCATCCTTATCAAACACACTACCACTTGATGGGTCAACTTTATTTACTCCTTTGTTGTATCCTCTATAGAGAGCCATTTTTATAACATACACAATGTTTCACAGGGCAGTTCTCAATATAAGAAACACAGCAACAGATCCGATACCAAGTCCAGCTAAAGCACCATCACCTAAGGACTCACGCTGTGCGATAGGCGTGCTAGTCTTATGAACAACCTGAGGTGCACCACTTACAGAACTCCCCGGAACTTTTGTGTTTCCACTAAGAGTATCAAGGTGGTGAACTGGTGTGCTATTTTGATGCTGTTTCTTTGGAGGATCAACTTGCTTAACACCGACATAATTTACCTTCGGATTCACCCCAAATTTCATTGTATTAGTTGCCGTCTTTAGAAGGTTATTATAACCGAGTATCGGAGTTTTTAGAATAATAAAGTTCGATAGGATTAGAATTATTCCAGGGGATAGAGCAGTGTTTAGAATCACATTAGTGTCCCTAACAGCTTTTCTCATATTGCTAATTGTTGTTACCGTATTACTTTGCAAAATAGTAGACTTCACAATAGTTCTAAAGTCACGTTGTGTTTGAAGAGCCTTTGGACCGTTTCCTTCTATTGACCACCTTGTATTAGCTTGGGATCCCAGCATAGCGTACACATAGGACTCAATGCTTTCTTGGATAAGCTCAACGCCCAACTTAGTAAAGCCATTGCTTTTTTCAGCTATGAATGAAAGGTAATCACTACCAGACAAAGGTCCTGCACTAGTTGTAGCACCACTTCCATCAATAATATAATTCTGATTTATTGGAATGTGTTTCCTTACAATATCAAGGTTAACACCAAGTTTATCAAAAGCATCCTTACTAACTGTTAACTTTCTAGTTGTGTAGTAAAGATGATACCTCATAATGGATGTTATTATTTTAGGAACGGAATTACTTTCACAAACGTGTTATAAGGATACACCGCTGAGATAGCTAGCTATGTAGGCGCGAGACAACATTCTAGTGTATGGTATCGTATTAAAGGAAACTTTTCTTACATCCTTATTAGTTAAATTAGGACCTTCATCCCAACCTACACCAGCATCAGGGAAGTTAGACATGAAATAACTGTTTTCATTTACATAGATCGTAAAGTTGTTAAAGTTGTAGGGAAGACTTACAGGAGGTCGATATGTATTAATATGATAGCCATCATCATGAATTAGAACTCGACTGAGACCTAACTTTCTCTCATCGTAAATAGGATCCTTTGGAAAGACAAGAGGTTCATATTTTTGAACGGTGCCATTACTATTCCAAAGATGTGGCCATCCTTTTGGTTTCAGGGGAGGTGCCACCACCTTAGGTTTCATTTATGTGAGGTATGATGTGTATTTACTATCCCCCTTAAATCCATCGTATCTTGTGTCATAAGACGTAATTCCATCAAAATCCACAAACCATGTAACAACACCAATATCACCACTACTTGTAGTCATAGCTTCAAATTTAAATCTTCTCATATCTGCAAAAGGATAACGTACCATAAATCTAGCCCTCTCAGCATTCTCTGCATTTTTACCAGCAACAGGATCAACATGATCTTCATCGTCTTCCTTTCCATACTTTTTTCCATAGTCCTGATACGACCGGTACGGCGACTTACCGACTTGTCCTCCACCTAGTCTCATTCTTAATAACCTAACGTATGTTATTAACATGAAGTTCACAATTTTACTCCAGAGCTCGCACACAGTTGTATCACTACAGAACTCAGTTCTAACAAGCAACTATAAATCAGTCTTTGTGAAGAGAGTATCAGTATTCTGGGAGTACTTCAACATAAGGGAACCAACAACTATTCTCAAAGTGAAAACAGATGATGGAGAATCTGATGTAATTGTTAATAAAGGTTACTACACATTTGACAGTATGAAGAAGTTACTTGAAAGACACGGTGTTAAGCTAACCTACTTTGCTGAAACAGCAGGATGTCAAATAGAGGCAGTAAAACAAGATATCACAATAGAAACACGATTACTGACCATGTTAGGTTTTAATAGATTCTATAATCCTATGATCCTGCTGAAAGGGAGGAATTTGACAAGTGATAGCAAAGTTGACTTCAACAACGGTCTACGATATGTAAATATACATTGCAATCTGGTAAGTAACAGTTTTAACGTTAACCCTTGGGGAAGACCCAGCGATGTAATAGCAAGTGTTACAGTTCCAACAGACAGACCATTATTAGGCTCGGTAGTTAGTTACATTGATGTTGAAAGCAGGATTTCAGTTATTTAGGGTTCGTTCTCAGAACTTATATTCCACATGACAGATCAAGATGGGAAACCTATTGATATAGGTAAAGTGCTACTTGAGATGTACCTTGAGTAGTGAGCTTACATTGGTTAATATAAGATGGACGACGATATTATGAAAGAACAGGGACTACGAGATATTTACTACAATCCTAAGACTGGATTCCAAACACCAGAGAAACTATATCTTAGAGCAGTATCAGACGGACTTGAAGTAACCAGAAACCAGGTCAAGAAATGGATAAATGAGCAAGACACATACACTAGGTACAGACAAGTGTTTAGGAGACATAAGTTCAGACAGACGTACGTCCAAACTTTAGGTGAACAATTACAAATGGATTTAGTTGACATGACAAAGTATGACGATAAGAACAAGGGATACCGCTGGATTCTCACATCCATTGAAATACTAAGTAGGTACGCCTTCACATTACCAGTGTATAGGAAAAACGCAGGGGCAATGAAGGACGCCGTCAGTAACATTTTAGAGCAATTTAATAATCGTTTTGGTAAATACCCAAAATTCGCCCAGTTCGACCAGGGAACAGAGTTCTATAACAAAGATGTAAAATCATTGCTCAACAAACATATCATTGATTTTTTCTCCACATACTCAGATAAAAAGGCCACAGTTGTGGAAAGGTTTAACAGAACACTGAAAGCGCTAATGTGGAAGTACTTTTACAGTGCCAGTACATATAAATGGTTAAACGTCCTTCAAGACTTAACTGATAATTACAACAGTTCAGTGAACAGATCAATTAAAACAACACCGGACAGTGTAAATGAGTCCAACTGGACTGAAGTATGGAAGACACTTTTTAGTCACAATTTAGGCAAGCCGTCAGAACCAAAGTTTGCTGTCGGAGAAAGTGTCAGAATTTCACAGTACAAATCAGTGTTCACAAAAGGGTACGAAGCAAATTTTACAGAGGAGTTGTTTACTGTGACGGAAGTGTATCACGGCCATCCAAACACGTACACAATAAAAGACAGTGATGGTGAACCAATAATTGGCAGATTCTATGAACAAGAACTGTATAGCGCTGAAGGAAGAGAACCTGATTTCAGAATAGAGAAAGTATTAAGGAGAAGAACAGTGAAGGGTAAAAAGATGGCCCTAGTTAAGTGGTTAGGTTATGATGATAAATTTAACAGTTGGATACCAGCTGGAGACATCAAGTCCCTAACATAAGTTAAAGTATTATGGAGGACTACGATAACTACGATGACATTGAGTTGGAGGAGATGGAAAAGACCTATCCTCAATATGACGACCTCAATTATGATGACCTAACGACAGCTTTTAGTAGGTTAGATACAAAGGTGAAGGGAGAGGCTATGTATGGTTCCGACCCAATAGTGTTAACTGATCTTAAAAGTGAACTGGACTATGTAAAGAATCTCATGGAGACACATTCAATAGTTTCTAGAATTGAAGAATCCATGAGTGAATTTAAAAGACTTAAGGAGCAGGAAACAACCTTTACTGAGGGTAATAACGGTACAGTAAACATTTCAGGTCCATCGGGAAGCACAACGGTTCCAGGAGTAGACTTTGTTGAAGACCCAAACAATTTACTTCCAGACGTGCTAGATGCATTTAATGAATCATTTGACGCGTAATGGGATGATATAGAGATCCGTCTGAGTAAACTAAAAAAGTTCTCAGAAGACCGACTCACAGCAAGTAAGAAAAGAGATTTCGAAAACAAGTAGAGCGTGTTCAGGTTGTCACAAGAGTTATCAAGGGCAAGGAGGGACTAATACTAGACCCAAAGAATAGATATGTCAGGGAACTCATCAAACGATCATCTGTAAGAACACTCAATGATGGCACAGAGGTGTTGGTATTTAGAAGTGAACAAGGTATTAACAAAAGTGGGACACAAATAATGAAACGTGGTAAGACCAAGATTCCTGTGTACTCAAAGGACTCACCTGCTCTGAGAGAATACAAGGACCTTATAAAGAAAATAAAAGAGGTACCTACGAATCCCGACAATATAATTGGAAGTGATGAATCAATTTACGAGGATACTAAAGAAGAGCCCCAATTTGATACCAGTGATGAGGAATACGCTGACCGTGAGAACATTGAGTTAATAGACCTAGGTGCAAAACTAGGAGACCTTCCAGGGCTAACAATGGGAGAAAACAATGAACTGAGAGGTGTTCTTATCCCGCCTGATGGATCAAGCATAGAAGGCAGAACAGGTCCCAATGGAGCGTTACAAATCCAGGCTGACTACTTTAATGAAGCTATTGGTGAAACCGTGGAACGCGCCACCTCAGCGGAAGGTACAACTGAGTATAATGCTCTTATAGAAAGAATTGACAGTCTGAAGGAAGCTAGGGATAGGACACTAGAGCAGAGAACAGTAGAGGAAGCAAGGGAGGCACAGTTGGAAGACATTTCCAGATTACGTAGATTTATAGACTGGGTAGGAAAGGAAAAAGTGGGACTTGTAGGAATAGCAGTGTCAACAGCTAGTTTAATTACAACCTTATTAATCCATGCTAGGGGAGCCATTGTGAAGACAGCAAAGGCCACTGGTAAGGTAGCAAAAGCATTAGAAAATTTAGCAAAGAAAGCAGGACCAATCCTAGTTCCAATCCTGAACACCATCGCAACAGCTTTATCATGGAGAGCCAAAGGAATTACCTGGTTAGCGTCACACTTATGGGTATTAGCTATAGCTGCAGCCTTAATGGTATTCAACTATTACACAAAGTAAAATAGCTATGGAGGAACACCAGGAGGAATACGATGACCAGAAAATGGAGGAGTTGAAGGAGAAGTATCCAAACTATGAAGAAATGGATATAGAAACTTTAGATAGTGAATTACCGTACCTCGACAAGGATCTCAGGGAAAGCGAAACTACTGAGGAGACCCAGGATATTAACGAGGAAATTAATTACATACAGGAACTGAAGAGGAGAAAAATATTGGGCGGGGACCTTACGCGAGAGCAATTAGCTGAGATGTTCCCTGACCTGTCTAAACTGTCATACGATGATCTAATGGATAGGGGAGACAGATTGTTAAATGAAATAATACTATCGAATTTGGAAGAAGACAGTTTCAAAGAAAAGTCGGAAGAACTGAGATACGTCAGAATGCTATCAAACGATTACCAAAGAGAGTCAAACTTAAATAATCTTCTCAACTTAAGAGATAAGGTGAAAAAGAGGGATCTCATTAAACGGGATGATCGTAGGAAACTGCAGAGGCTCAAGTTATGGGCAAGGGAGAATGCAGGCATCTTATCAACTGTTCTAATTTCCTCATCAGCTGTAATCATAGGACTGGTAGTATTAACTAGAAACATATTGTGGAAAGTAGGTGACACAACAGGAAAGCTCGATAAGCGGATCAGTGAGTTGGTAAACCACCAAATAGAACTACCACCTGTATTTCAGAAGATAGCCGATGGAGTAGAGTTAGCAGCGGATAATATATGGATAATCATTGTATGTGCAGCAGTAGTTTTACTTTACATGAACAGCTAAACATTACATATTGTATACAAGTATGAATACCACAGAAAGAGAACTCCAACCTGGCTTCAGGAGGAGCCGTATGACATCCGTAAAAGGTCCCAGAACTAGAAGTGTTGTAACTTTTAATCCAACAACTATTGGACCAGGTGAAGACCTGTACATTAACATCACCAAACTAAAGCCCGACTCTTGTTTAGTACCCGGATTGCTTGCACTATTATTTGACTTCAAAAATTCCAATACAAAAAGCCGCTTTAATAACAACCTGTCTAAGTTGATAGCTAAGCGTCTTCAGATTAAAGTAGCAGGTGAAACAGCTTATGACTGTTCAGGAGAGAGTTTGTACGAAATATACAAAGATCTATGGCTAACACTAGGTGACAGGAAAAAGATGACTGAACAAGGTCTTGCAAGTGAGAATCTCAGGAAGTTAATCTCAGGTGATAACTCAGGTGTAAAGATAGGTGATGCCGGTAAAGTAGCAGATGCACTCCTCCACAGTGTGTACGGTTCTAAGCTGAGGAAACCAATTGATAAGATAATTGCAGACCATGGGCTCTACACACCTTTCTCCATGAATAACAATCCTATGTACATCCTCACACTCCCCCAAGCAGATGAAATTATGACTGCCCAAGGAGGTGAACAAGTAGATGGCTATAAACTTGATAATCTTGAGTTAGAATACGAGGCCATTGAAAATGACTCCCTTGCGAGTGAAGTATCAAGGATGTATTCAACGGGTCGCTCACTGTCCTACAAACACGTCACTCTTATGCGTACGAGTAACTGGGACAAGGATCTTACCATTGTTAATGAGAACATCAATATTCCAAGAAAGAGCATGTCAGCAATTGTACTTCTATTTACCAATAGAGTGAGAACTGATTCTGAAGAATATATTTGAATATATTTACCCAAACATTGATAAAGTGAACCTAACCATTGAAGGTGTGCCTAATGCAGTTTTCTCCCAAGGACTTCCTAAAAATAGGTTCTTTGAAGAGGCAAAAAGATTCTTCTGCCCCATGTGCGAGAAATGAATGGCAGACGAGTTTATGTCCATCAGTAAGTTCTTCAGCAATGGTTTCGCTCTAGTAATCGATCTTCGGTCAACACAGGATGATACCACTGGAGGAGGCAGGAAGATTGTTAACACACAGTCAGGCGTACTCATGGAAATCAAAAAGAGAGTCACAACAGCTGACGTTCAGTGCAACATTTTTATTGTATCAGATGCTCTCCTCAACTTTGCCAACAGAGATCTATCAAGTATTCAATACTAATGGTAAAGCATAGAGATGCAACAACTTAAACCTCCATTCAACATGCTCATAGTAGGAATGACTGGAAGTGGCAAAACTCAGTTCCTACTAAATATGTTAGAAACAGAGTACAATAGAGTTTTCGACTACATTGTCATTATATGTCCAACCATAGAGTAGAATATGACTTACATTAATTGGACTCATATTAGTGACCACGGAGTTATACAAATTCCATGTTCACAAGAAATGATCGATCTTGGTCTCAAGGCAGTGTCCACCATATTTCGCGGTACTCAGACTCTCATTATAGTGGACGATTGTGCTGCAAGTCAAGATGTAAAGAAAAGAGTCTCAGAACTGGTGCGCCTAGCATTCTCCGCAAGACATTACAACCTATCTATCATTGTACTTACCCAACAATTGTCATCAGTAGCGAAGCCCTTCAGAGAGAACATTTCCAGGCTAGTTACATTTTACAACCCTAGCCGCAGGGATATGAAGGTTATAACAGATGATTACCTAAGTGGTGTTCCCCAGGAGACAATCACAGAGATTACGAAAATATTAAAAGATGAAAACTTCACCGCACTGGACGTACTACTTATTCACACTTACACATACACTGTTAAACTAAACACCGCGTAAAATATAGATGATGGGAACTGAATCTGAGGAAGAAGTATTTGAGGCTGTAAGACAAGTAGAGGAGGCCGCAAAGGTGCCGCAGAAAAAAGCTAGGTCTACCGCAAGAAAAACTAAGTTCACCGCAGATAAGTCGCAAACTGAAAGCAAAAGGGACAAACTTTTAGAGCTATCGAGGGACGGTATAATAGAGAAGCCCGCAAGTTTTATAAGAAAGTCTAACAAAGATGTTGTAGATAGACTGTACCATGAGTATGAGAGTCAGAGGATGCCATGTGCAAGCGACTTCTTATCAACGCTTATTATCTCAAAGTTTGCTGCGGTACTAGGAAGTTTTGGTGCAGTGGAATCCTCAGAGAAACTGTCAGAGGAACTTCTTAGTGACAAGTTTCTGAAGGACGACGTAGCATATCTAACCAGAACGATATCCCCCAACATCCCATTCATAGGGGTCATATCAGGTGGCTGTACAACAGCTAAACATGTAGTTGCCCATAAGTGGAATAAGAAGGAGGAACCTGAGGAAGTGTCCGAGGAAACTAAACATCTTCTATTACATACAGATTGCCACGACTCGGAGGGCCTTACGACTGGGGAGGAACAGAATTCGAAGACATAATTGATAAGCTGATTGAGAAGACTGATAAGAACAGGGAACAGCTGGATAAGATTCAGGCAACTCTGGATTCACTAAAGTATGACTTTGAAACGTTCAAAAATGATACAATAAAAACAGTTGTAAATATATACAAGAATCTAAATGAAATGCAGTAAGCAAAATAATTTTTGGTAATAGGAAGTATACAACAGTGGGAAGCAGCTGGGCGGGATGAGGGAATGCTGCTCCATAAATCAAAATAAATTGATGAATAAAATAGCCTAAAAAATTTTTACACATGTAGTATAGGAAATATGGAGCAATTATTCAGGAACCAAAAGTTGAATGTTAGTGTGAGAACCGTTAAGAGTGGTGAGGAGGTACTGTTCTATGCAAAGGATGTGGCAGAATCTCTAGTGTACTCAAACACAAAGAAAGCAGTTAGAAACCATGTTTGGGAAGAGGATAAGTGCACGCTAGGGTCCATTCAGAAGGGTGCCCTCGAGGGCACCCTTTCAGGCGGCCATCCTGGTACCGTTTTAATCACGGAGCAGGGTTTATATCAGCTAATATTTGGATTGGAGCTTAACACAGCAAAGGAGTTCAGAAGGTGGGTATTCAGTTAGGTGCTTCCATCTGTCCGTAAAACAGGCTCGTACAAATTACCAGATAGAAGGTCACTCAGGTATAACCAAATGATCCTCATAAACGAAACGGACCTCCATTATACAGTTGTGAGTTACATTAGGAACAACCACCCTAATGCTGTAATAGTACCCGGTCTTGGTGAGTACCAGGATACAGAATCAAAGAGATGTGACGCCTGGAAAAAGGGTTTTAAAGGTGGTCAGCCAGATCTTATTATAGAGAATCCTATGGGGGAGTACACAGGATTCGCAATAGAACTTAAGTCTCCTAAGGGCACTGGGACTACAAGTGAGAAGCAAGTTCTATGGCTCAAGAGACTGAGGGAAATAGGGTACATGACAGTGGTATCCGACGATCTAATACAGATCTGTATTAGAATTAATGAGTACTTCTCCCTTAAGAAGAAAGTTAAAATAGTAAGGGTAAAGAACGTAGTCAGCGAGGCAAAGCTGTAGAAACAAAAGTTCACATCAAACAAGTACTAGTTTAGTCGTTAATATAAACTTAAAAAATGCTCGGCAAATACAGTCGGGCATTTTTTAAGCAATCCCATCATACTGCCAAGTAAATTTGAGACATCTTGCAAGTAAATTCAAGTTATCTCACCAGTAGATTTAAGTTATCTTACCAGTAGATTTGAGTTATCTTGCAAGTAAATTCAAGTTATCTCACAAGTAGAATTCAAGATATCTCATAAGATGAAACCCAGTTAAACCTAAGGTATCTTACAAGTAGAATGGCAGATAAACCTGAGCAAAATCAAGTACCAGTAACAAGTGAAAAGAAGAAGGACCCAAAAAGAGTAGCTGCAGGGAAACGACTATCGGCAATTGGTAGAATAGCAAAGGAGAGGAAAAGGAAATAAGCTGAACCTATTGAGTCATCTGGTAATGATAGTATGATTACCTACATAGGAGTGGCTATTGCATTAATATCTCTTGTGCTAGCATATAAAACACATCAGAGGGAAACAAAAGAACCAGAACCTGAGTACATCCCTAAAACTGTAGAAGTAACTAAGAGAGCTGATGAGTCCAAGTTAGATTCACTTGAATGATACATTAAACATACCATATATAATAGCAAAATGAGTAAAGAATCACAGATGACTATGGAAGTGTACAATGCAGTGTTACTTACAGCAGGAGCAGTTGGTATATCAATGGCATCAAAGAAACTATTGAAAGAACCACTAGGTACCCCAGAGAATGCAAAAGGAATGGCGAAGTTAGCTATTTCAGTTAGTCTTTCATCTCTACTAGTCTCCTATCTGAAAGAAAAGAAGTATCTACCAGATGATCCATTCAAAACCTAGGTAAAACTATACAATGGCGGGAGCAGTAGCAGGAGGACTTTTCAATGCATTTGCATTTGCGGGAGCAGGATACTTATTTAAAATGTTTGACAAGAATGGATATGCTGAGGAAGCTCATAGACATAACAAGGCAATGGAGAACCTAACAGCTGAAAGAGAAAAGTACCTTGAAGAGGTCACTAATAGGAGAAATAGAATAGCTCAACTAAGGGAAAAACTAGCTGATGCAAATAGGGATATTAAGTCAACGAACCAGTCGTTAGAACTCGTCAGAAGAATCAATGAGTTAAAACGTAAGCCTATACCAAGGAAGCCGCAATTGAGTAATCACTACAAACCTAGCCCTGAAATGGAAGAGTATATGGCAATCTTTGGTTTAATTACAGGTGGGGTGGTCGGAGGGGCAGCTTATTTAATGCTATAGAAAATGCCATAAAAATTTTCACATCTATAAGTATAGGGAAATGGAATGGTTACAGATGGCAACACTTGAGGAGATAATACATGTAGGTAAAAGGGTAAATACACTGGAAGAGTTAGAGGCTGCTGTGAGAAAGCACGCAGAGAGTAGAATAAAGAGAGAAAACACACATGTGATCCAATATGTAGCGAATGTGGGAGTAAGTCTATTGTAATGACAGATGGAGCAGATACATGCACATAGTGTGGTGCTAGTGATATGAATAACTTCTCGTACTATGTTAGTTACAACTACAACAAGGACGACTACCTGAAAAAGAAGTCTTGTCATAATAGAGTCCGTTGGTTTGAGAGACACTTATTCGAACATGTTGCTTCTAGGGATAGGGACACCATAAGGAAGCAGTTTAGAAGCATCATAAGATGTATACAAAGACTTAGAGTGCAAAGGGGGCGCAACATAGTCAGATACAAGTTTTACCTACTGAGGATAGCCAGTATGAATGGTATAACTTTAAGGAACCCTCCTGAGGATATTAAGACCCAAAGGATTGTGGACGTCCTTGAGGATAGGTTGTATGGGAAAGTTTTTGTTGAGCTTGGATGGAAACCTGAGAAATGTGAATATTATAATAACTGGAAAAGTAAAAACACTTAAAGAAATAATAATATATCATAATATAATATATATAATAAATCAATAGAATTAAACAATAAATTAAACCAAAAATAAAAACACTTAAAGATATACTGATATAATAAATCAATAGAATTAAATAATAAATTAAATTAAATTAAATTAAATTAAATTAAAAATAAAAACACTTAAAGATATACTGATATAATAAATCAATAAAATACATATAAATTAAATAAAAAATAAATTCGAAATAAATTATTAATTAAATAGCCCAATTTTTTTACACATATAGTATATAGGAATAGTTGAAAAAATATGGCGGGTAACTTTAACATGAACGAATTCAGTGTAGAACAACTTTTTGCTTTAAATAGTATCATAGACAGTGATGAGGATATGGATACAAGAGTAGAAGCCATCTTGGAGGATAAAAACTACAGGATCACTCCTGATGATAAGGGTGAAAGTCCATTCCAAGGAGAAAGACAATTCGTAGATGAAGTTGACCGTGATATGAAAACAAAGAAACCAAGACGTATCCCTAAAAACTATAAGGGTAGAAGAGGAATTATGCCAACATGGAAGTACTCTGACAGGCAAAAGGCTAAGGCGCTACTTGTAGAGGAGGCATACCCGAGTTTACTGTCTAAGGGAGTTCAAGGGTTACCACCAACGATGGGAGGTAGATGGCGCACAGATGATGTTCTTGTTAATGAGGAAATTAAGAGAATCGAAAATGAAAGGAATCCTAAGGTAAAGCGTCCCAGAGGTAGACCACCAAAGGCAAAGGTTGATGCTGAAGTGAAGGTGCCAAAGAAGAGGGGCAGACCACCAAAGGTAAAGGCTGATGTTGAAGTGAAGGTGCCAAAGAAGAGAGGTAGACCACTAAAGATAAAGATCGATGCTGAAGCGAAAGTGCCAAAGAAGAGAGGTAGACCACTAAAGGTAAAGACCGATGCTAAGGTTAGGAAGCAAACTGTAGCAGAAAGATTCCTGAATCAGAGGAAGGTAAAACTCTCAGTACCAGCAGATAGTGTCATAACCCCAACAGGTCCAGGTAAGTTCACAGTTCACGTGGATCTTAATAAGAGACCCGCGAGGAAAGCTCCTGAGGTATCTAAGGGTGTAGCTCCATGGAGACCGATACCTAAGCCTAGAACGGTACTTCCTAGGGAAAGACCTGTACCTAAACCTAGAACTAAGCTTCTTAAGGAAGGACCTGTACCGAAACCTAGTACTAGGAAACCAGTGTCTCCTCCTAAGGTCCGTAAGCCTGTAAGGGTGTCGAGGGAAGTCAAGGAGCAGCCTATAGTGGTTACACCAGAGGAACAAGAAATCGATCCATTTGGAACAGACCTTAATTGAAAAGCCATTCCACAGGAAAATTGAAACAGCCGCAAATGGAGCCGCCGTGACTTACTCGATAACTCCTTATTATATGGACCCTCTGGATCAGATGACTGCAAGTAGACAGGTAGTGAGAGGAATACTTGTGAACGAGTTGAAGAGAATGGGTGGGTTGAAGTACACAGAGACTCTAAAGGTGAGGATGTCAAAGGAAATTGGTGATGGGAAAACCAAGAAGGACTCAGTCTACTTCAAATCTAAGACTGGTACTGCAACTAACTTCGAGGACATCGAAAGTACTGCTGCTCAAAACCAACTGACAATATTGTCTAGAATTAAAACCTTCCAAAACCTTGGCTCAAATTGGATTATACTCAATATTGAGAGTCATTACGTAATGTATAAACCATTAAAGGGTAGTTCATACACGAAACTTTCGGGGGACATCAATAACCCAAAGTGTGGGCTCATCAATATGAAGAACAATGACAACCTGTGTTTCCTGTGGAGTCATGTGAGACATCTGAATCCTAAGGCTAGAAGAGCAACCACTATCACACAGAAAGATAGGGAATTCATAACGAACCTAGACTATGACGGTATAGACTTCCCTGTGAAGATAAGTGACATTGATAGAATTGAGAGGAAAAACAGTATCAGCATATCTGTGTTTGGTTATAAGGGTAAAAAGCAGTTCTACCCCATAAGGATCTCAAAGGCTAAATATGATGAGCATATGGAACTTCTACTCCTAGGTGATGGTGAAGGTAGTAGACATTATGTTCTCATAAAGGATGTAAACAGGATGCTGTTCAGTGTAAGTAAACATACACATAAGAACACTTCTGTCTACACTGTCTTCACAGTTGTGTGAGTGAAGAGGTACTGGAGAAGCATAAGGAAACATGTCTGGAGGTAAATGGAACTCAGGCCGTAAAGCTTCCCAAGGAAGGGACAAAAATCAAGTTCAAAAATCATAGGAACTCAATGCCTGTGCCGTTTGTGATATACGCTGATTTTGAGTCCATACTGGTGCCTGAGGAGAGAAAAGTGGAGTCGAAGAACCCTGAGGATGAAAGTAGTACGGACCTTTACCAGACACACAAGGCTTGTAGTTTTGGTTTGAAAACAGTCTGCCACTATGATGATAAGTACTCCGGTGAGTATAAGAGTTACGTTGGAGAGGATGCTGCATTGGTTTTCCTTAAGACTGTATTAAAAGAGTCCTTCAAATGTAGGGAAATGACTGACAAAATATTCAGGAAGAGAATGGTAATTACACCTAAAGAGGAAGCAGAATTCCTGGTTACAAGAAACTGCCCCATATGTGGTAACGATCTATGTGAGGACCGTGTGAGAGACCATGACCATGTAACAGATAAGTACCGAGGAGCTGCTCATAATATATGCAATCTTAAGTACAGAATTACATGGAAAGTACCTGTGGTCTTCCACAACCTGAGAGGTTACGATAGCCATCTGATTATGCAGGAAATCGGCAAGTTTAAGATGAACGTCAATGTGATTCCAAATAATATGGAAAAATACATCTCATTCTCACTGGGTAAGAATCTGGTCTTTATAGACTCTACACAGTTCATGGCTTCTTCGCTGGAAGCACTGGTGAGTAACCTTTCACCTGAGGACTTCAGGATAGTAGGTAAGAGGTGGAAGGGTGAGGACTTCAAACTAGTGACACAAAAAGGAGTGTTCCCATATGAGTTCGTCGATGATATTAGCAAACTCAACACAGAAGGTCTTCCGAGTAAGGATAAGTTCTACTCATCACTATATGAGTCAGAGGTGAAGGAGGAAGATTACCAGAGAGCTAAGAGAGTATGGGATCACTTCAAGATGAAAACCATGAGAGACTACCACAACCTCTACATGGAGACTGACGTTCTTCTGCTGGCTGATGTATTCGAGAACTTCAGGAGAACATGTCTGGAAAGTTACGAACTTGGCCCCGCACATTATGTGTCAGCACCTAGTCTGAGTTGGGACGCTTTCCTGAAAAAGTCAGGTGAAGAAATAGAACTCGTAAGCGATATGGATATGTTCCAGTTCTTCGAGAAGGGTATGAGAGGTGGTACAAGTTATATTGCCCATAGACACTCCGCAGCTAATAATAAGTACATGGAGACGTACGATGAGTCGTCTGAGAACAAGTACCTGATGTACCTCGACGCTAATAATTTATATGGCTGGGCGATGTCACAACCACTACCTAATGGAGAGTTCGAGTGGGTTGAGGAAGTTGACGGTATGAATCTAGAGGATTACTTGGGAGACAACGGAAGGGGAATGGTTTTGGAGGTTGACCTGGAATATTTGCAAGAACTTTACGACCTACACAACGGTTATCCTCTAGCACCGGAGAGTAAGGAAATCAGTGCTTCTATGTTGTCAGATTATGCGAAGAGTATTGCTGAGAAATTCCAACTGACAATTGGAAGAGTAAGAAAACTAGTGACTTCACTAGGCCCCAGGAAGAAGTACGTCTTACATGTACGTAATCTGAAACTGTACACAGACCTTGGGATGAAACTCACGAAGGTTCATAGAGCGGTTACATTCAAGCAGTCTCCCTGGCTTAAGGACTATATAGACTTCAATACAAAGAAAAGGTCAGCAGCCCGTAACACGTTCGAAAAGAACTTCTTCAAGTTGATGAACAACTCAATCTATGGAAAGACTATGGAGAATCTTAGGAAAAGGGTTGATGTGAAATTAGTGTCCTCCAAAGACGACCTCCTAAAACTGACAGCATCACCTTGCTTCCAGTCACATCGAATCATGAATGAGAATCTTATAGTGGTAAAGAGGATGAAAGAAGTGCTAACGCTGAATAAGCCGTGTTACGTAGGAATGAGCATCTTAGACTTATCCAAGACTTTAATGTACGATTTCCACTACAACACCATCAAGAAGAAGAAGTACGGTAATAGTTCGAGGTTACTGTTCACCGATACTGACAGTCTGATGTACAAACTGAAGACAGATGATGTCTATGAGGAGTTTAAGAGGATTGGTGAAGAGCAAGACTGCTGGGATAATTCAGATTACCCAAACGATAGCCCTTACTACTCAACCCATAACAAGAAGGTTATAGGTAAGTTTAAGGATGAAGCTGGAGGAGTACCCATAATTGAGTTTGTTGGGTTAAGGTCAAAGATGTACTCCTATGTCAAGGAAAACGGTGGGGGTGGAATGACAGCTAAAGGGGTTAAAAAGTATGTGATCAGAAACAAGCTCACTCATGAGAACTTCAAGAATGTAATCAACACGAAGGGTAGGATGAGACACAACATGAACACAATCAGAAGCACGAAGCATACAATCGGAACTTATGAAATGAGGAAGGTTACTCTGAGTTGCTTTGATGATAAAAGGTATCTTTTGGAGGATGGAGTTACCAGTTATGCTTATGGTAACAAGAATATAAAAAATAGTAAATGAGAAGTTCCCACAGAGTAGAAAGTAATAATCCTAAAGGGTAAATAAGCAGGTAGGGCCCCCTGCCTTGTGTACCCCCAAGGAGAAAATAAAAGATGTCGAAGAGGCTCTAGATTAAGCAAATCAAATCTAGAGGTTTAGGGGTTTGGGCATCCCTGGTATTTTGATAGAAGAGAACGGTGAATAGTTGGAATCTGAGTGCGACAACTAAAATGGGTACTGTGGAGGTTGTAGGAAGTATTAATCAGCGCTCAGAACTAATATCTGACGGTTCTGTGGAGAGGGGTGTGTGTTACCTCAAGGGTATTTCAAAAGTTGTCGAAGAGGCCTTGGAATAGGAAAACTGGACGATATCGGAAAAGCTTAGAATCATACTAAAGTCTCAGCTGGACTAATAAGGTGATCCCGAAGCTCTGAGATAAGTTAAATGAAAAAGACCTCAGAATAGCAGTTTCACATTCCAAATAAATGGACCGTGGATCGGGAACACTCATTGAGGAGCGGGACCATTAATTTTAATATAATAAAAATAAATTATTAATTTTAATATAATAAAAATAAATGATTAAATTTAATATAATAAAAATAAATTATTAATTTTTGCCGAAGGTAAAAATTAGTGGTCTCGCTCCGAAACTAGTGGTCTCGAACCGGCAGTTCCTATACTACTAATCCTATGCAATGGATCAGCATTTAAATTTCCAACACAGTTTCCGAGACTTAACTTATGAGGTAACTTATATGATTGCATTTGAACTATTACATCAGTTGGTGTTATGCTGTGCGGAATACGTAAGCGAGTATTATTGGAAAGAGGGATTCCATATACGTTGAAATCACCAAATTTAATTTACTGCAGCTCACGCACACATATCTCCACTTCGCCGTAACTTTACAGAGAAGATTTTATACTTTGGGATTGATCTTTCTCTTTGGTGTGAACGTTTAAAATGAATCCTGTGTCGTAAGTCTTCTACCAGCAACCAATCAAGTTGCAGACAAAATATGTTGTTTACGTCCAACACACATTATTATTATTATTATGAACTATATTTCAACACGGTACAATTTCACCTGTACTAAAATTAATTATGTACAAGAGATAAAAAGAAAAAAGGTGATCTTCCAACCGGCCGTGCTCACACAAACAGAAATAAGAAATAATTACAAGAAAATTATTTTAAGTAGATGGAAACAATGGCAGGATCACTTGCTGTTAATTTGCATGCTTCAAGTTAGATTTAAAATTAGCAATAGTTGTTGATGCTTTTACCGATGCAGGAAGGCAGTTCCAGACTTCCGCACCTCGGTAGGAGAATGCACTTTTCATACTATTTGTTTTTGCCTTAGGCAATGTCAAATCGGTTCCCGACTGTCTTATGTTATGGTCGTGTACATCAACAACATTTGTGAACATATCACACAAGTAATCGGGGACCAATTTGTTTTTCACCTTGTACATGAGAATTGAAAGTTGTTGCATTCTTCTTTTTTCGAGGTTCGGAACTTTTAGCTTGTTTAATATATCAGCCGACCGTGTCGTATAATTCTCACGAGTGATTATTCGAAACGCTCTGTTCTGTAATTTTTGGACTTTAGCTGCTAATGTTTTCCCTAAGCGACCCCACACTTGAGCACAATAATCGAAATAAGGTTGAATTATGGATTTGTATATTGTTATTAAGGTATTGAATTCGACTGTATCCCGGAGTCGTCTGAGAATAGCAAGGCCTGAAGTGACCTTTTTTGAAATGTGTTCGATCTGCGCGGTCCAGTCTAAAGACTCGTCTATCATTAGGCCCAATGATTTTGTCATTTCAACTCTCTTAATTTCTAAGTTACCTATACTGATAGCAGGATCGGCAGTCACTTGACTAAGCCTTTTCTTGGAACCAATTACCATATATTCGGTTTTACTATTGTTCAGAGTTAATTTGTTTGCGGACAGCCAATTTGCAACATTGTTTAAATCTCTATTTAATGTTTCAGTGATAACTTTGATATCGTCACTTGATGTTGCAATTTGGGTATCATCCGCAAACATATCTGGTTTTGTCCCGGCGTTTAAACATTTTGGTAAGTCATTGATGTAAATTAGAAATAACAATGGGCCTAAACCAGAACCCTGAGGTATGCCTGTTTTCATAATTGATGGACTTGATAGTTTGCCATTCACACAACAGCACTGGGTCCTATTTGATAGATACGACTCCAGCCAGCGATGTGCCGTTCCCTTTATTCCATAAGTTGCTATTTTGTCTAAGAGTATATTGTGGTTGACAGTATCGAATGGTTTTTTCAGATCCAGAAATACAATCCCATTTAGTTTCCCAATGTCAATATTTGTATACCACTCGTTGGTTATGTCCAGTAGTGCTGTAACAGTTGAGTGAAGTGGTCTAAATCCGTGTTGGAAGTTTGAAAGTAGATTATAGTTATGTAAATAATTATAGATTTGGTTATAAATCAGCTTTTCTGCAATTTTGGCAACTACTGATACAACGGATATTGGTCTGCAGTTTGTCATTTCATCTTTAGCTTCAGACTTAAAGATCGGAGTAATTCTAGCGATTTTCCAATAATTGGGAAATATGCCTGTTAAGATTGACTGGTTGAATATTGATGCTAGGGATGGTAAAATAACTGCTGCCGAAATTTTTCAGATACGAGAGGAGATACCATCGATTCCCGATGCTTTATTGGGGCCTAAACCATGAAGTAGAGTCAAAACATAATTTTCTGAAATTTCTTGAAAGCTAGGGAGCCCATTAGCTGGATGGTGTACATCACTGAGAAAACTATCCGGTAAAATATTCGATTGAGGAATTTTATTCGCAAGTTTTCCCTTAGTTCAACAAAGTATTTATTAAAGGCATTAGGGATCAGCGTTTCGTCAATTACTTCACCATTCTCATCCAGGTCAAAATCGGATAAGTAATTTTGTAGGTCACGCAAGAATATTTGTTCGTTGAAATGTTTGTAGTCGCGGTATTCGATTATTTTTGCATTTTCTTTGCAGACCTTAAATTTTCTGATGCCATAAATAAGATAGTGATCACTAATGGAAACAGTTGACACTCCCTTTGAAATAATATTATCAGGATTTGTTGTATAAAAGTGATCAATTAATGTCCGAGTATCTTTAGTAACTCTTGTTGGTTCACTTATCAATTGTTCATATTGATACAGTCCTGTAATAAATTTGAGTTTCGAAAGTTGGGGAGATAGATTTGTGGATAAGAAGTCATAATTTACATCTCCTAGGATAATACTTTCTTTATTGTCATTGTCTATTAGTTGTAAACAGTTCTCAAATCTATAAAGGGTGTCAATTGGATCGTTTGGTGGTCGATACCACGTTGTAATTAAGAATGGTTTAACGTTATGTTTACTAATTTGTATTGTAAGAATTTCAATATCATGATTATTCAAGTCAGTTTGAGGTCGAAAATTTATTGAATCTCTAATGAAAATACCGATACCACCCCCAGATCTATTTCTGTTTTTGGAAATCCAATTGTAACCTTGAATGGCTATTGACTCGATTGGCACACTATCGTCCATTCGTGTTTCATTAATTGCAAGCACATCTATTTCTTTATCATTCATGCAGATCCGAAGTTCGTCAATGTGTTTTGGTAGACTTGTTATGTTCAAAGAAGCTATTTTGAAGCCTCGGATAGCCGGAACTAACCGGTCTTGTTGATTGTCAATATAATTTAAATTTGAATTGTGCTCATAGCGTAGGGTTGACTTTCTAGTTTCCCACATTGTGCTTAATTCAATATTGTTAGTGTTACCACCTATGTTAATTGATTTTATAATTTTGTAAATATAGTCAATATCGTCGATATCGCTAGGTTTGAGTTCATTTAGTCAATTCTTGAGGGATTCGATCAAGTTCTTTGCTAACATTGCCTTTCTTTGGCTATTCAAATGTAATCCTGCAGATGATTTAATTTAGAAGCATTTATGTTAGTATGCCGAATAAACTGCCACTTGAATTTACCACAGAGCTTAGCTAGTAACGAATTAGTTTTATCTATTTTAATGTTGATAATCGGGTCCTGTCTCTTAGTTATTTCGGAAATAGCTATTTTTGACAAACTTTGGGACACGATACCTTGACATAAGGTATGGCATAACATTGGCATAACATTACTTAACCTTGACATAAGGTATGGCATAACCTTGGCATAACATTACTTAACCCAAAATGATTCGAGCAAAACGGTCTTTTTGTTAAAAGGAAGCCTGGTTAATAGAAATTGGTCCTTTTGAGTGACATAATCGTGTGTCGTCATCGATCCATGTCGTTGAACAATGAAAAAAATTGTCGTGAATTGGTGAAGATAAAATAGCAGTTTGTGAGAAAACTGCGGGTCTGCGGCCGAGCGAGACCGTTCGGATTTAACTCAGCGTGGTTGAAAGTGTTAGTTCCCGTAAAAAAATTTAGATCCAAGACATGCTAAATGAACGACAACGATATTGGGAAACAGCGGACGGCCTATTTGTTTTATTTTGTTTTGAAGAAATCTGTTGGCGTCACTTGAAGGTTGATTTATGTTGATTGGTTGACTTTAGATCCCATTGCCTATTTACTAATCGATCAAGATGATTTGTTACTGGATTTTGCACAGTCGTTGCAAGCTGTGATTACAGATTTTTGCCATGCTGTATTACATTGACTGCCCTGAAATTAACCAATCACAGTCCAGTAACATAATCATAACTCAATAGTAAATACTGTCTGCTTTTTTAAAGAATCACAGTCAACCGTTATGCTGTGCGCGATTAAAGGGTTTTGATTGTTTTGTGTTCCGCCATTTTATTTAGCCACTTTAGTGACAAAAGATTGACATCCGAAGCGTGTCCTTATCAATCTGCATTATTCTTTGACGATGTCATATTTTTCATAGTTGGAACTTGTTCACAGATCATTGATTGAGATTTTGGTGTGTGTTTTTATACAAACCAATGATTTTAAAATGTTTTCTAATTTTATAAGTAGACGGATAATCATAACTTGTGTATTTCCTGTTGGTGGAAGACCAACAAGCGAGGGTGTATCAGAAATAATATTGTTGACAAGTTTAACGTACGTTCTTTGGACAGAAAGGAAAGAAAGCCTAGGACTACATGGAGGGGTTTTCGATCGGCAAGTTCGCTAAAATCCTGCTCCATCAATGCATGGACGAACTGCATGAAAGTGGCAGATAATGGGGTAAACGGCGGCGGGTAAATGTGTTAATGTTCTTTTTTTGTTTATAATAAAGCTTATGTACAGTACATCGTTTTTACATTTTTCATATTACTATTTTAATAGTTATGACTATTTTCGAAAGCAACACTATTTTTAGCTCACCGTACTGTATATATGTATGTAAAGATTTAAATAGCGGGCAAAGCATCACGGTTGACTGCGATTCTTTAACTAAATTTGGGCGGAATAAGACGTATCGAAATGTTGGGAGAGTCTGCAGGAACACAGTGACAAAATGAGTGACCGTGGAACAGCAAAACTGTAGAAGGAAGTCTTCCTCTCAACAGCAGTGGTAACTATGTGACATAGCGCATCGGCAGCAGATTTTTACCAAGTTAAATGGTATTTGTGTGACTGTAGGCACAATCGGAAACTGCAACCGATTGCGAAGACTGAGGTTGATATCACAATCTGAATGCTTGATAATTCTTCATATCTCGCAAAAACCGAGTACAATAATTGATTTCGTATTTATTTAGAGCATAAAAAGGACATGAGCATCTGTAGGTTCATATCTTCGAAATAGTTACTAGTTTTATTCCATTTGCATACAATCTTATTTTTTCTTTTGTAAGTACGTTAAGATTTTTGAAGAGCTTTTGTGGCTGTTTTCGCAGATATTTATTCTTTATAATTTAAAAGTCGTTTCCTTTAAATTTGCGAGAATGGACAATCGCGACGCCGCAAATTTTTTTTCCGTAGACAGTCTGACTCCTCATTGATAGTCGGACGCATAATTGATCCGCGTCCAGGCCTCCGCGCGTTATCAGTGGATCCCTTCCTAACCCACTGGTGCACCATATTTCCATCACCCCACGTTGTTCTTCTTCGACCACGTGTAGGAAGATGAACGATTTACTTCGCGATCCATAATAAATCCTCAAACTTGTATTTTTTTGTTCCGAAAATACTAAAGAACGGTTATTGCGAGTTAAAACTATACATCATCCCTAATGAAGAGAATCAGGATAAGATAACTAGGGTTCAAGGAAATACTGGAAGATTCAAAGCGACAATCAGTACCACTTTCCACAAACAGAAGTATTGCAGAATACCCAGGGCCGTGCCAACCGGTTTCTGGTTGGGAGTGTATTCCAAAATTTCAGCTCCCTTCCATTCCAGGGCCCCTCTAAAAAAAATTTTCCGGAAATCAAAAATTTTCCGGAAAATGTTGGCGACGGGGGGGGGGGGAGGTGAACGATAAGTTTTCGGTTCCCAAAACTTTTCGCAAACCAACATTTCTCCAGAAATTTTCAAATTTTGCCGCGAACAAATCCTTTATTTTTTAAAAATTTTGCAATTCCAGCATGTCAGGGCCCCCTCCCCGCAAGTTGGGCCGCTTTTTTTACTTTTTTTGGGGTGTTACACCCCCTACAATTCCTCCCCCACCCCCCCAGATGGCACGGTCCTGATAATACCCTGTGGCTGTGTACGGAATATATATCATGTAGTCCGGCCACTATTTTACTGGATACATATATACCAGATCTTATTGCCTCGTTCTAATATACAAGTTGAAACTAATTACTAAGACAATATTACGAATTGATACTATAAATGAAATATCATGCATTCATGCAAGAATTTTAATGTTTAATATTATGCTTAGCATGTTTTATAATATAAAATATTTTTTCCCAGCGACGCTAATTAATCATAATCTGTCAAACAGCAATGTCCGGTTGTGAGGAACATATTTGCATATTGCACCACATTTAAGCTCTCTATAGCATGAGAATTTAATCTATTAATGCCAACTAACTGTCGCCTTAATTAATCTAAAACAAAATAACTACTTGACTATGTATCCACGTATTCGCGTATCCACTAAAATATAGAGCTACCTATAGAATGAGAATTTGATCTGATCCTTTAAATCTAACTGTATGCCTCGTTCTCAAAATAACCACTTGACTGCGTATCCAACAATTTAATCTATTACCGGGCCACCATCTATTTATTATTAATCTATTGACTGATAAATGTATATGTATTAATACATCGTATCCATGATGTTTGAAAGGCATAGCTTAAAAAGTAGATACCGGGTATTCTGCAATGCCAACCGCCCCTGTCAGATGTCATCACCACACAAGGTAGGAAGCCACAATGTGTCCTGCTCAGATTTTGACATCTCAACCAAGCAATTCTGATTTTAAAATCAGCAATTGCGTGCGGAAGACAAACAGGGAAGGCGCATCTAATAAGAAGAGTATCCGCTGAATATTTTGTTTATGGGCGCGGGTCAATGATGCGTCCGACTATCAATGAGGAATCCGACTGTCTACGGAAAAAAAATTGCTGCGAAGCCATGTTGTTTTGCTCGTGTTTGCACATTTCGTATTCGGATTTGCACATTCGTAATGAATATGTTTTTAGTATCATCATTAATAAGACGTAATTTCTTTGAATATCATGTCAAATCTCCATATTTGGTTATCGATTGAGTTAATATGACAATTTCACAGTTGGCAGTTAGCCAAGTAGAAACCATGAATCTCTTAAATAAATAATAATTGTAAAATATTACATACTTGAATTCCAAGAAACTTCAGCATAACCTCCAAAAACGTAATTCCCATATTTCGCAATGACGAGAGTGGGACCTTTGTTGTCACAATTTTGATGAACATAGGATGACTGCCATCCATTTGTTGCACAACTGTATAGCTGGACCCAGTTGAAGAACATTTCTTTCACGGGTAGCCAAGACAACAATGTGTTTCTTTGCTCGTCCGTCAGGGTATTGACAATGTGACTTGAATTTTGCAAAGTGGTTCCCGGCCAAATTTCTTTCTAAATATCACTGATCTGGTAAAACTCAGCCTCGAGGTAAAGCTCTCTCGCCAAAACTTTGTTTCTTTAGGGAAGATGAGCTTTCCAGTACGTAGATAGTTTAAGATGTATCTGCACATAAAAGGAAAAGGTCGTTGTAAATTATCAAGTTGCACAGTGTTTACTTACAGGCTAACAGCACCTGAACGTTTTGTCTTCTGTTTCATAACTGAAGAATTTTAAATTCTGTGCATTTGTGTTATACTTAACAAATATAGAGTATTTCCGTGTTGATATACAGTTATATGAACACGAGTGGGAATTGGAAAAACGAAGGGCGGAGTGTTTTCACATAATTTCGAGTTTTCCCAATTTCCACGAGTGTTGATATAACTCTATATTAATACGGAAAAAAGATTTTATATTTGTTTTATAATATAGCGCAAAGAAATATAAAGAAAGAAATCTTCCGTGTTGACATTGACACGACTCTTAGCCAATCAGCGTTCAGAATTTACAAATGCTATATTATAAATTTGATATAAATTGACTACATATATGTTATATGTTGTGTTACATTTGTTTATATTACGATCGGACTGTTATCGGGACAAATCACCTTTTGGAGTAAGGGATTTAAGAAAAAGAAAACAACATTGTTTTGGATACGGGCTCGAAATATAGAGTAAAAGTTAGCTGTGTAAACGGGTTGTTTCAAGTAAATAAAGTATTTCAAGAGTTCAGTACAACAATGGCGACGAGTTCTGCTGCCGTTACGGCTACAAAAGGACCCAAGCTAAAAGTTTTACCCTTCGACCCTCACGGAGATCGGTTAGACCTGGGGAAACGATGGGAAAAGTGGTTCGAACGGTTTGAGAGAGACCTCAAGTATAACGGATGTTATCCTAGTAAAACACCAGAAATAGCCAAAATGGCGATGTTAATATACGCAGGCACCGAGGTGGAAGACCTGCACGACACTGCCAGAACCAGGCAGACCAGAATGCACAGAGGAAGAAGACTGGACTGCATATGAGCAATCTAAAACCAAATTGAAAATACTTTTTTCACCAAAACAGTGCAACGACTTTGCTATCTTTGAATTACTCCGAATGAAAATTGAATCGTCAGAAAGTATTACAAGATCCAAGACCTTCTGGATCAAGACATCATAGAACGAGTTCCAGACAACCAGCCACGCAGTTGGGTCAGCCCTCCGGTGATTGCTCCTAAACCAGATTCCGACGACATTCGTTTCTGCATCGATATGCGCATGGCCAACAAAGCCATACAATGCCCGTATACGCAAATACCAACAATGGCTGATATTGTAAACAAATGTCAAGGAGCAGAACGCTTCACTAAACTGGACCTCAAAGAAGCATACCACCAGCTTGTCCTCGACGAACAGTCGCGCAATATCTCCACTTTCTATTGCCCTGATGGCCTCTACCGCTGCAAAAGGCTCAATTATGGAACCAAATCTGCCAAGGATATCCTCCATTTGGAGATGCACAAGACGCTGTCCGGTATCCCAAGCCAGAAGAACATAGCGGATGATATCTTGATTGGCGGATCAGTCGAAGAGCATGATGCAGCTCTGCCAAAAGTCCTGTCAGCCTTAACGAGTAATAGTATCACCGTGAATCCTGATAAGTGTGTCTTTGATGTAGAGGAAGTGCGATTCGTCGGGCTGGTGTTCAACAAGCAGGGTATAAAACCCGACCCAAAGAATGTAAAGAATCTACAAGATGCAAGTCAAACCACAAGTAAAGTGGAGCTGCGCTCCTTCCTCGGGATGGTAGGGTTTCGTGAACGTTTCATTCCGAACTTCGCGAGTATTGTCCACCCTCTGCGGCAAAAGCTTAAGGAGAACATCTGGGCGTGGGACGAAATGTGCCAAGAGTCATTCACCAAGTTGCAAGCCTCGTTAAGCGAATTTTCACTACTACACCATTATGTAATCGGACATGACACTGAACTAGTTGTAGACGCCAGTATCACGGGTCTGGGGGCAGTACTTGTCCAGTGTGCATCGAAGACTGAGGCCTTCCACCCGGTTATGTACAAGTCGCGCTCACTGAAAGAGGTTGAAACCAGATACTCCGCGACCGAGCGAGAGGCACTAGCCGTGAGCTGGACATGCAGGACCGTTACAGTCGATGGCCGGAATTGGCATGGTTCCGAAATACACCTAATGCGAACACCACGATCGCAGCCATGGAGAAGATATTCACCAACAAAGGTGTCCCAGCGGTATGTCAATCGGACAATGGCTCGCCTTTCGAATCAAAAGTGATGGAACAGTTTGCCCAAAGCAGTGGATACCGCCATCACCACGTTACTCCGGAATGGCCCAGAGCAAACGGATCAGTTGAGCGATTTAATCGGAGTGTGAAAGAAGCTCTGCAGGCAGCAACTCTAAAAGGGAAATCCCTGAGAGTCGCATCACATAGATTTCTGCAGATGTACCGATCTATCCCATACAGCGCGACTGGTGTCAGCCCGCATGCTTCCATTGCATGGCGGAAGAGAAATGAGAACAGTACTTCCACTTATGACACTAACCGACCATGTTATAGACCGCATACGAGACCAACGATACAAAGCCAAGATGAGAAACGCACTGCGGCCACATAAACTTCAGGTAGGTGACAGTGTTATTGTGAAGCAGACGAAAGTCAGCAAGCTGACGCCGACATTCAACCCTACACCTCTGAGAATCACCGAGGTTCAAGACTCAAGAATAACTGCATGGGAGATTAACGGCACGTGGACCATCACGAGGGACGCGTCGTACTTTCGAAAGATTGGATCCGACACGTGTGCGGATAACGAAGATGACCAGGACGCATCAGACGAGAGTGACGGAGAGATGGAGAACGAAGATAGGGGGAACCACTGGAGACGCCGGGTGAAATCACTGAGAAAGTGCAGAGACCACGACGGACAACATTGAAGCCTGAGTTATTTAGAAGACTACGACACTTAAGGGGGTTGGACTATTATTGTAGTTGAGGAGAGATGTTATATGTTGTGTTACATTTGTTTATATTACGATCGGACTGTTATCGGGACAAATCACCATTTGGAGTATGGAATTTAAGAAAAAGAAAACAACATTGTTTTGGATACGGACTCGATATTTAGAGTAAAAGTTAGCTTTGTAAACGGGTTGTTTCAAGTAAATAAAGTATTGAAGAGTTCAGTACAATAATATATTACGGTATAAATCATTGAGTTCAGCGGTTATGTATGCAGACACTGAGTTATGGTTATTCTGGCCAACGATTTGTCGCCAAACCACATGAGGTAGGTGCTGGTGTGCGACGGACTTTGGGCAACACGAGAAGGACAGGAGGGCTTGAGCTTTTTTGCTTCTTTGGCTAATTATATATTCCATATTGTTCCAGATATAGCAAAGTTTGTCTTTACGGCATTAAGCTAAGCCCATGACATTTCAATAGAAATTTCTGTTGATTCGCGTTAAAAATTAATAATAGCTGCAGATGGTAATTAAGAGAGCAGTCATTATTAATGCGGGGAGGGGGCGGAAGATATTCCCGCAAAACTCATTGTAAATTTTTCATGGCCCCTCATTCTTTCAAAGTATTTTTTTCATGCCCCCCCCCGAATTTAAATATAATAAATTTCCATAGCCCCCTCTTCCCCCTGTGATTGAACTTGCATTCCAAACATATACTATAGATCGCAGGCGGCCCAATCTCGCAAGCGACAGTATAGATATACTAGAAAATACATGCATGCAGAAACCCTCGCCTTGCTGACAAAACCATTGTATTTTCCGAACATGAAGTATCTTAAGCAGTTGTTAATTATGATAACACGATAATTTTTTAAAGAATATTCTTACAAATGAAAAATCGCCTAAAAATATCACTTTTAATTACAAAACTATCAATTTCCCAACATATATATGTTAGGTATGATATTATACGTAAAATAAGCTTTAATTTAAGGTTACTTCAACCACAAACGCTTCGCAAAACGTTTTAAAGTGTTCTTTATAAAACTACTAGAAAATACATGCATGCAGAAACCTTCGCCTTGCTGACAAAACCATTGTATTTTCCGAACATGAAGTATCTAAAGTAGTTGTCATGGTAACACATATATATTTTAGGTATGATATTATACGTAATATAAGCTTCAATTTAAGGTAAAATTCAACCACAAACGCTTTGCAAAACGTTTTAAAGTGTTCATTATAAAACTAAACTGCCTTTATTCTTTAATTAAATGGCTTTATCGATAAGCTTTGAGTTTGCAATAAAATGATTTCAAATTCTCGCATGCAAATAACCTTGCTTTCTTTTTTATTTAAAAAAATTCAATATAATAAAAAAGGGAATCAATATTAAAGATACACTGAAATGGGGCCCGATATGCTGTCTTGTTTAGTTGTTTCATATACGCAAAGGCCGTCGGGTTTTAAAGCAATTATAAAATCAATATTTAAAACAAACTTACCTTCGTTAATGTCGGCTCCCTTCTTTTAGCCGATTCTTTCGCCATTTCGTTCTTGAAATTTACAAAATCTTGCAAAAATGCGAGCAAAAATGAAATATATTTGCAAGAAATTTATCAATCATCAAATAAAGAAATGTTTGCTATTTTGCTAGCGCTGTCATCATGCAGTCGTTATAATGCAAACTTTAAATTGGACCAATCACAGTGTTCGCTATTCATGACAGTCCGCCATATTTTTGAGATCAGTGAGGATGACCACCCACCAGTGGCGTGCTGGCAGGGGGGGGGGGCCGGGGGGCCACGGCCCCTCCAGCTGGCAATTTTTGGGGGGCGCAAAAATGAAAAGGGGGCGCCGATCCCGCGCCGAATTTTGAAAGTAGGTGGGAAGAAACGCATTAGAAAAAATATAGTTGCTAATTCCGCCAATGGAAGATGTGTTTATAGACTTATAAACAGACTAAGCGCATAGGCGACAAAGTGAGTATATTAAATTGCAGACTATTTTGTCTAACCGTATTTGCTACCTCACGACTCACACGAAATCACTCGTTCATATAGAAACATGATCAGTGATCACACGCAATGTCTCATTACCGGAATATTGACCAGGCTTCGAAGCGATCACGGGAATTATGCCCTTTTTTGCTGGTATTATACCCTTATATTATGCCCTTTATTATGCTTCACGAATCACGAGAGCGGTGCAAATTAGATAGTTGAAGTTATGATAATGTAAAGTTGTGTACGCAATTTAGTTGTTTGCGCAAGAAACATTATGAGTAATGTAAGTAATGAGATAAAGATGAAACACGCCCTTTTGGCAGCCAGGCAAGGAAACCTTAAAATGCATATGCGTGGGGTCCGTGTGTTATTGTATAAAAGAGCTGTAAATTGTAAATGTATTCAGATCAGTAGAGAATAGAATTGGGATTAGATTAATTGCTGGAAGTAGTTAGCATTGCCCAATTTAAGTGCTACTACTAAATTCTAACCAATTTTCAAATTTCGACACGTTGTAATGCCGTTTCCTGACCATCAGATTTCTGTCTAATCTTCCCCCAAAGTCCAGGAAATGGCATTTCAGAGACTTTAAATTCAAAAATAACCCCCCTAGACAAACCTAGAATAAACCCCCCTAGACAAACCTCGCACCTGCGGCGCTCGGCTCGTGCCTTCGGCCCTCGTTTATCAAGGGTAATATTATAGGGACGCATATTAGTTGCCAGCCGACTGGCCTTTCCAGAAAAATAGTACCCAGCACGCCACTGCCACCCACGGTTGGTGACCCACGCCCGCGATATTTGATGAACTTTAGACTTCGCTAATGCTTTCGTTTCCCCGGGTTTAAATAGCCGGGGGGAATTAGTACCCTCGCACGGCGCTTCGCGCCGTCGGCTCGTGGATAAAACTGCCTTTAAGTAAATGGCTTTATCGATAAACTTTGAGTTTGCAATAAAATGATTTCAAATTCTCGCATGCAAATAACTTTGCTTTCTTTTTTATTTATTTAAAAAATTCAATACAATAAAAAAGGAAATCATGATCAATATTAAATATACAATGAAATTATATGCTGTCTTGTTTAGTTGTTTCATATACGCAAAGGCCGTCGGGTTTTAAAGCAATTATAAAATCAATATTTAAAACAAACTTACCTTCGTTAACGTTGGCTTCCTTCTTTTAGCCGATTCTTTCGCCCTTTCTTTCTTGAAATTTACAAAATATTGCAAAAATGCAAGCAACAATGAAATATATTTGCAAGAAATTTATCAATCATCAAGTCAAGAAATGTTTGCTATTTCGCTGTCGTCATGCAGTCGTTATAATGCAAACTTTAAATTGGACCAATCACAGTGTTCGCTATTCATGACAGTCCGTCATATTTTTGAGATCAGTGAGGATGACCACCCACGCACAGTGACCCACGCCCGCGACATTTGATGAACTTTAGACTTCGCTAATGCTTTCGTTTCCCCGGGTGTAAATAGCCGCGGGGAATAATTAATACCCTCGAACGGCGCTTCGCGCCGTCGGCTCGGGGATAAATTTTAAAATAAAATTGACTTGTCTATTCGATAGTGTGTGTTCTCCTTTTATTCCTCTTTTGTTGGACTAATATTTTCCGAGACTTTGCACTCGATCAGTGTCGATGGTACTTGACCCTTGCGAGATTGGGCCACCTGTGGTGCAATTAATGATTTTCGATGGCTGCGGCCGGGAGAGCGGGGAATTAAAACAACAAATCCAATATGGCGGGGAAATTTATCTTTATCTTGTATAAAAACCACATGGACGAATTGAACTAAATATGGGCACAAGAATGAGTTTAAATAACATAATTTGGCAAAAAGAGCCCGTGGAGAATACCTGGAAACAGTTTTAAGAAATAATCTCGGCGAGATGCAGTGAAACGTGACTATGTAAATATGTAATACAATTTATAAAGATTTTCTTAATACTCTGAACATTTGTTATTTGAGTTTGAATCATTTGTCGTAGTTTAAGTTATGTGCCTGTATGAGTTTATGATCATTTCCTAAATTTGTTTCTGCCAAACTGCTTACAAAAGAATTAAAAACTCTTGACAAAATGAAGTTGAATTTTAAAGAAAACTATTTTGTCATCATGCCATGCATAAAATATCAATTGCAATCATCACACGGGCATGTCGTGCAGTTAACTATTTACGGCAATTCAGTGGCATATTTTTCAAATGTCACTCGTAGTGTTAATCATTAATCGCACTCCTTCCCGTGTGATTGCCTATACTTATGCAGCATTGACATTTATATTACAGTGAACTATAATCGCTGATCTTTTATATTATTGTACATTATTTTTGGTGCCCCCCCCCTACCTTGCTTTGATATTTTTGGTAGCCCCCCCCAAGTGGCTAATAAATTTTTGGTGGCCCCCCAAATATCTTCCCCCCCAGCATTAATAATGACTGCTCCCCTAAGCTTAGACTGATAAGCATTGAATTTGGCTCTTTTGGCGTAGCATGATAGAATGGCTCTTGCCCTCTTAAGCACTGAGTTTGGACAAATGTTTTTTCACGCAAATTGACGCCTTGCGCATGCATGGCTATATGTGTATTTGTAAACTTGCAGGTATACGTGCGCAAGCATTACGCTAGTGGTTTTACAAACCTGGCAGAACCTAATGAAACAGCATCCATAATTTAGAATTTCATCGGTTGTTACCCCATTGTGGTACCGATAATGTAGCACAGATATATGAACGAAAAAAGACAACAAATAATGGCCTTTATAATAAAATAGAAAGTTTGTGTACTCAATTTTGTAGTCAAAATTTGAACTCCCCCAATTACAAGAAGGTACATAATATGTAATTGCCAAACAGCTACACTTTTGTTTAACGCAAACGTCTCAAGTGGAAATTGCCTTCTTGTCAGATTTTTCCTTATTTTTTCACCATTTTGAATCAAATTCCTGCCTATGTGTAAAATTCAAGTCCCCAAACATGTTAAAAATGCTCGGCCGCGGTCGCTAATCACTCATTACCTTATGTACTTTTGTGACCAAACGCTCCACACCAGTCCTGCGCTCAGTTAACTACGTGATTACTGTATTAACTCGATTGAGCGCTGCCCTCGATTAAGCGCCGCCTCGAAATAAGCGCCGCAATTAAGGAGGCTCCCTACAGTTGGGTGCGGGATATTCGCGGGACCAATACGTGAACTATCCCACGCAACCGCATGATCAAAACAAAAATTGACCACGCTTTTTAAAAAAATAAAGCTATTTCTGAAAGGTTTCTAACGGAAAAAAAGCATCGAAAAATATTTCGTTTTGAGTACCAAATGACTTGCGAGTCTATACAGCAATTCTACATATGATACGAATATCACTAGACCAATAAATAGCTACGAAACAATATTTTTAATTTTTTTAAATATACACTGTCAACTGTAAAACATCTGCAAAATTGCATACAAACGTTTAAAAAGTTGTTTACTTCTCAAGAAAACGTTCACGTTTTTAGTCGTGTTTCTACAAGATTAAAGTGATTATATATAAACAGAAAAATATTGTTCATTTTTAGCAAAAAGTTCAAAACCAAACATGAAACAAAAAACATATCCACCTGTTAATAGGCTGTTACAGCTCATAGATTGAGTAAACGGCAGGATTCAAATAGCTTCAACCTTGTTTTCATCGATTTGATCCTTCACAATAATCCTTGGCTGTCCATGGCACTCAAATAAATCGAAAGGTTGACAAAAACAAAACTGTAAAAACAACATTGCCGCTCGATTTTGCTGAATGAAAACTCGTTCTGCGCCCGCGTACAATCTTTTACTAGTCAGCGACGCTTTTCAATAGGGGAATTTCTCGAGTTACACAAGGCTATTTTCTAACTTTATTTGCATTTTATTCATCAGTTTCATCGGTGACCTATCTTCAAATTTTGACCACAAATTTATTTTGCGGTAAATTTTATAAATTTCAATTCTTAAAAAAATCTTTAGTGTGGAAATTTCGCAATAAAATTTTCGTTTTTAAAAAAATCACACACTACAGAATTTTTTTAAACTTTCACCAAAGTTGAAGAGCATCATTCCCTATTGATATATGAAATAAAAAAGCTAGGTCACCGACATCGTTTTTGAGATAGCGGCACATTTATGGGTTAAATTGGAAGGCTTTATGCAGACGTCATGTTGCCATAGGAACATTGACGTTGTTGAAATCTAGTTTGCAATATTCCTTAGGTGACCAATATTGCCACCAAGTTGAAAAGAATTCGCGTACTGCACGAATAAGCCTGTTTTACGGAGTTATTTCTTAAACAAGAATAACTGTAGGGAGCCACTTTAAGATCAAATTTTTTCAAAGAGCGCCGCAATAAACAGTGTAAAAACTTTCCACCGTCAAAATGGGGACACTTAGTGACAAAGACATTCAAAACTTGTTTATTTTATTGTTAAAAATTCTTGTTATAGTTCACAAATAAATGTTTTTTTAAAGAGCGCCGCCCCCGATTTTGCGCCTCCCCCAATTGAGCGCCGCCCCCGAATGAGCGCCGCATCTGAAGCTCTGAAAATTTAATAATAAGAGCGCCGCGACGCTCAAACGAGTAAATACGGTTAACTATTCAACTAACTACGATTTGTGCAACGCAGTTAAGCTGGAGTCATACGACAACAACTGCGACTTGCAACAAAATCTAATTTCAACGAATGTTAAGCAGAAATGTCGGCAGAAATCAGATTTTGTTGCAAGTTGCAGCAATTGTGTTGCCCGTATTACTGCACCATTAAGTCATGTCTGAGTTAACTAAATACATATAAGAATTCGAATACGGTATTTAACGCTAACTGCAGTTAACTTTAACTACATTTTTATACAACCGGCTCCTAGACAAAAGGTAAGCACCTCACGAAAATCATATACGACTCGTTAAATCCGTGATTTTTTTTGCCAATGAGTCCAATCAACGTTCCTGTCGTAGGCTCTGTCAAAATTCTCAGTACGGTTAGCCACGATTGTTTAGCGCATTTTTCTAGTGTTTTATTGGTTGAGAACATATCACGTGAGAGTGACGAAATTAGGTTTAAGCAACCGCTATTAGTCCATACCTCATTAATGATCTGCCCCCTAACCTATGTGCCTAACCCACCCTGTCAACTTTCCCTGTGGGAGGAAACCCACCCTGTCAACTTTCCCTGTGGGAGGAAACCCACCCTGTCAACTTTCCCTGTGGGAGGAAACCCACCCTGTCAACTTTCCCTGTGGGAGGAAACCCACCCTGTCAACTTTCCCTGTGGGAGGAAACCCACCCTGTCAACTTTCCCTGTGGGAGGAAACCCACCCTGTCAACTTTCCCTGTGGGAGGAAACCCACCCTGTCAACTTTCCCTGTGGGAGGAAACCCACCCTGTCAACTTTCCCTGTGGGAGGAAACCCACCCTGTCAACTTTCCCTGTGGGAGGAAACCCACCCTGTCAACTTTCCCTGTGGGAGGAAACACACCCTGTCAACTTTCCCTGTGGGAGGAAACCCACCCTGTCAACTTTCCCTGTGGGAGGAAACAGGAGTACCCGGAGAAAATCCACGACTTTCGGCAGAGCGTTGACTTTTTTCTCTTTTCACATGAGGACTGGGTTCGAGTCACATTGAAAAATTCTCATTGAGATTTGAACCTGCGACCTTTGAGATGAAAGGCAAGTGCGCTAACCACTTCGCTATTATGATGTAGGAAAACGGCTAGGCAACTAGACCAATAATTTGTAAACAGACCTCCCACTCTTGTTCTGTTCGCTCCGCAACTCGTGTTCACGCGAAAATCCCGCACGATTTCTACCACATACTCACAAGTACATAAGCGTCGTTTGTAAATTCGTCATTATTGTGCAGTGGGAAAACTAGACCAATGACTGCCATTAGTGAGCTTAAGATCGCAATGTTTTTGTCAACACGGACGTCAGTTCGTCGAAGGGAACCTGGATTAAAAACTGTGTTTCTGTCAGTTGATGGTAATGTTCAACATACGTAGGACAAAACCTAAGATTTTTAAAGCTTTTTGCTTTCTTAGACGAGCGCTATGATGCAACATAGTCTGCCAAAATTAATTATACCTAATAGTTTATAGATAAAACAGTGTCTAGTGTGGGGACGAAACGGCAAGGAGACAAAACGACCGGGGACGAAATTACGGTAAGGGGACGAAACGACCATAAAACGTGAGCTTTTAGAATACGGGCGATAGTTTAGTATATATGGTCTATATTGACCATCTATATTTTCGTCCCCAAATAGAAAATCATTTCCACCTGGGGCATATACAATGAGTCCAATTTTATGCAAACTCGTGTATACACTTTTAGTTTAAAATAAAACATTATAGTTTGCGCATCACTTTTTGGTCAAATTTAATTCAATATAATATATTAATCTCACGAACGAGTCCAGGTATATTTCACTCTTGCTTAGTTGCCTGTAGTCCTGGGCAATGAATACAAGGCTTCGGATTAGGGCAGACCATCTTGGATATTACGCAGGATATAATCGATGGCTAAAATTTTGTGAGAAACACGCTGGGAATTTTTGTTGGTATTTCTGGCCAAGGAAGTGTGGCAAAAATTTCCATGACGCCATATTTAGTTGAGAGATCGGCTGTAATAAGGCTGGGAAATAGTTTTTGGCGCTGTCTTCCGGTGTGTCTCGTTGCTAGGAGACGTTGGATTTTAATAAATTCCTAAAGATCGTCCTTCAAGCTTTTGATTAATACCAAAGTTATCAATTTTTGGCGTTAAAATACACGTTTTATGCATTGTTTTTTCTGATGCTGGTAAACATGCTTTTCTGGAACATGTATTGTGTAATATTTTGGCTTCAATAGGCTCATTGCCTGACGATTAATCTTCGGAAATGTCTATATTTTGGCAAACTGTGATTACAGTGTAAAATTTTGTTCCTGCCCAAATTGTTCGATATGTCTTATTCGCTCTGTAATTTTCAATTCAAAATACGGGTACTTTACACTTTACCGCGTAAAATTTCTCCAAAAAGTTAATGTGACATTTCAGACTTTTACTTTGGAAGTGTTCCATGTTGTTGTATTAAAGTGTTGGAAAATGCCGCCAAATAAACGTCAACATTATACAAGATTTCCAGTCGGTAAAGATACGACTGAACTGAAAAAGAAACAAGAAGAGCTCACACAAAAACTAGTGGCTGAAAACAAAAAGCTTAAAGGGAAGCAAGCAAAATTGAAACGTCTTCAAAGTAAAGTGAGTCAACAAACTATCAAATTGTTGCTTTCCAGTACTTGAAGTCTCATGTGTAGGTTTTGTTTTCAAAGACTAATAGTATTGCTTTTGTGTTGCATAGGTGAGAACTGCAGATGAAGATATTCAAGAGAGAATAAAAAAGGTATTTATTTGCATTGGATTAAATGTGTTACAGACATGATCCCGGCATTATAAATCCCACTCAGTGTTTATATGATCCGGTTTCTATCCCCAAATGCTGAGATCCCCACTAGACGGGATGAGAAATTCCCATATAAACCCTTCAATCTGCCTAGCTGGGACGAGAAATCAGAAATATAAGGCTAGGCGGGACCTTTCAACCTTTGCCTTCTTAGCATGCTTGATATGATGTGAAGCATTTAACTTACTTCATCTCGGCAATATTTTTAGTCGTGTTTACACTAACAGTCTTGGCCTTGCCTTGGCCTACATTTTGACAGTGTAAACAGATTTTGACCTAGCCTTGGCCTGACCTAGGCCAGGAAACCTGGGCCTACTACAACCGGTGGCCTAGGCTTGTGGAAATGTAAATACTTTCGGCCCTGGCCTGGGCCTTATTTTCATGGCAATGTGTGTGCACAGTGAGGGTGTAACCAACACTTTATGTAATATTGAGGGTAAAATATTAACCAGCCTTCCTCTAACCATCCTACTACACTGTATTTGTTAATTAGACAGCAATCTTTTGGAGAATCCCCCTTTGCCCACTCTACTGCTGCATGCTTTAAGGGAGGCGGGTAGTCCAATAATGGCTGACTGCTGCAATTGTTACTGAATTTAGATAAACAAGTGGCTACAGTATCTAATTATTCAAAGTATTTTCCCCAGGCTAGGGGCTGAACAATATATGTTTTCCAAAATGCCTGTTATATTACACATTTTAGAAAAAGAACTCAGAAAAAGGATTCTTCACTTTGTCTTTCACTGAAAAACGACTACAGTCTCCTACCGCTCTCAACGAGAAAGGAAATATAAATGGTCCTGAGAGAACGGCCAGAAGAAAGATAGAAGAAACCAGTGAAGTAGCAATGAAAATCCATGGAGGAACTCCAAGTAATATGCAACCTGCTTACTTTGGTCTTTTTGCAACCCTATCTAATGGGGCTTCAGCTAGCACACTAACTGATATGTTTTACAAATCACCTACTGTAATGACAAAAGTTATTCCTAATGTGGTAAATGAAAAGGTCAAGGCTTTTGAAAATTCTAAAACCAATTTTGTTAGAAGCGTGAACGTGCTTTACAGGAATGGCCTTGTAAGCAAGAAGAAATACATTAGCATTAGGTCAGCATTAAGCATGAATAACAAAGAAAATAGTAATTCTAAGTCGCACACAGAATTTATGTCAAACTGTAATGTTCCACGCATATTTCCGTACACGGAATTGATGTATAAGATCAAGGGCATAGATATAGGTAATTTGTATGACCTCAACGAACAGTTTTGGACCGGTCTAGGCAATGATGACCATATAGAAGGTAAGTACAGGGATTTAACCGAGTTGCTTTTAAGGTTGGCCCAGTTTTACTTGAAAGTCAATGAACACAGACTTGATAAGCTTATTTGGTATAACAATAAGCAAGCAGGTCACTTCAATGTTGCCATTGGGGGTGACGGTGCCCCCTTTGGTAAGGATGACTCGGCATTGGCTTGGTTGGTAAGTTTTCTTAATTGCGGTCATAGAATTTCTAGCCACAATGAGAACTTTCTTCTTCTAGGGGCAAATTGCTCAGAGGATTGTGAAGCTATTAGACGCTATGTTCTAAAGCTATCGCAAGACATCAAAGAAATTGAAAAGAAAACATACTCGGTTTCGGTTGATGGTCAATTATGGAATGTATCTTTCTCTTTTGACATGTTTCCAAACGACATGAAATACATAGCTTTTCTTGCTGGAGAACTTTCATTTTCTGCAACATATTTCTCACCTTTCGCAAACGTTAAAAAAGCTGATATATGTGATACAAAATCTACTTTCGGGGTTGAGCCTTATCATAAGTGGAAGCCTTGGACCTACCAAGCAAGGATCAAGGTTGCATCGGCTGTTGCAAAAAAAAAAACAAGAACTTTCACATTCCTCTCTGAAACCGACCACTTTTAGAAATAAGGTAACAACATTCATTGCCAAGAATGGGTCTCGGACAGAATTTCCACCTCTGCTGGGTGAAGCGATTGACCGAGTAAAGGCTGAACCACTCCACCTTAAGAATAATGCATGGCAACAATGGCATGCATTGATTCTGAAATATGCCATAGCTAGAACCAATTTAAGTGGTTGTGAGAATGTTAGTGATACCCCTCTTTCAAGCTGCTTTAACAAGTACTATGAAGCTCTGAAGTGTGTCTTAAAAGCCACAAGACTTGCCAAAAAGGTCAGAAAGTGGTTTTGTGATGGGCGCCTACACAACAAAGACCTTTCTTACAGATTTACAGGTAAGGAATCCAAAATAATGAGCAACAACTTCATGAAACTCATTAATTCTCTCAGTTTAAATGATGATCAATCTACTCATATATTTAAATTGCACATATTTGCAATTATTGCTGTTAACCTGAGGGATGCTCTTTCTCTATTCAGTAGAATTAATATTATTGATGAAGAGGTTATATTGCTGAAAAAGGTATCAGGTAAGTATTTTAGGGCTTGTGCATTATTTGCATCTGTCACACCAACCACTTGGACCATCGGTCATGTTGTTCCAACTCACACACACCAAGCTAAGCAACAACTGGGCTATGGGCTCGGTATGAATAGTATGGAAGGTCGAGAGGCGAAACATGTTTCGTTTGCTAAGTTTTCACGTAACACTCACCACTCGACTCGTTGGTTGCAGGTGTTCAGACATGAATATATCTCCCTTCTTTGGCTAAGAGAGAATGGCTGTGATTCAGCCAAATATACAACTACTGGGAACAAATACATCCCTGCAAGATGCATGCTACACTGCTCAGTTTTGTCATTAGAGAGTTTGGGAACGCGACGGGAAGTGGCGACGGCGACGTCTGTGACCGAGCAGGGGCCCGGGAACGAATACGTTGCAGAAACGTCGCCGTTGCCCCCAGAATTCTGTTTGGCTACTGTTCGGTGGTAAAATTTAAAACTTTTGTAAATTCAAAATGGATGAAATTTTTGACACTCTCCTTTTGTCGTACGATGATGGTTTAATATCAGACGAGGAGCTTTTACTTCTCCAAGATTACTTATGTATATCGCCAAATAGGCACTCAAATTTCCCTTATCGGGATTATAATCCATTTGACTGGGAAAACCTTGACGAACTTACTTGCAAAGTTGAGTTTCGGTTTGACAAACAAGACATTCCAAGGTTGCAAGAAGCGCTTCAATTTCCAGAAATGATTTCCATCCCACATGCTACAGACTGTCCTGGAAGCTTTGTGCATATTGCTCAAAAGATTTGCTTACCCAGTGCGATACTGTGATATGGTTCCCATGTTTGGCCGATCAGTGCCTGAACTATGCAAGATTACTCAATATGCAATCAATCATATTTACAACAACCATGGTTTCAGATTACAAAGCTGGAATCAACCATTTCTATCTCCAGAGAATCTGGAATCCTATGCAAATGCAATTCATGTCAAAGGTTCCCCTCTTCTAACATGCTTTGGTTTCATCGATGGCACAGTTCGGCCAATTTGTAGACCCAGTGTTAATCAAAGAATTGCGGTTTACAATGGTCATAAGCGGCTACATGCCATCAAATTTCAGAGTATATGTATTCCGAATGGTCTGATAGCAAACCTGTCTGGACCATGGGGTGAGTTAGCACTTTTTTGACATTTATATTGCCAATAATCAGTACAATGATGTGTTCTGTTATAAATTGTTAATATATAAATTTTGAACAAAGTCATTCAATTCAATCATTTAGTTATATATTTTGTTTTTCTTTGCTTTAGAGGGAAGAATGAATGATGCACGTATACTTGGAGAGTCAGGCTTGATGCAAGACCTCAGGCAGCATGCATTTGCACCAGACGGCACCCCATTATGTCTATATGGTGACCCAGCCTACCCATTGAGGGTCCACCTCCAGCAACCATTCCGAAATAATGCCGCATTAACAGAAGATATGAGGCAATATAACAAGGCAATGAGCAGTGTACGAGTCAGTGTGGAATGGTTATTTGGAGAAATAACCAAGTATTTTAAGTTTGTAGATTTTAAGCAACAACTTAAAATACGGTTAAGTCCCATTGGAAAAATTTACATTGTATCTGCCATATTGCAAAATAGTTTAGCTTGCTTGTATGGTAACATTGTATCAGAATATTTTGAAATCAACCCACCAACACTAGAAAACTACTTCTGGAGAGCTGATGCATAGTGTCCACATGTAATTAATGATAATACTCTATGAAACATAGTATATTGCAAGACAACAGTATAGTAACATTGCATTTGCGTGAAAGATATAATTATTGTTTATAAATTTGATCCATACAACCAGAATCAAAAGTAATTCAAAATTAAATTTTCTGAACCAATAACTTTTATTTTCAATTTACATATACAACTATAAAAATATTAATATAATAAAGTATAGCATGCAACTTGTCCTGTAAAGTATCCAAACAAAATTCAAAGGCCAGAAGTAGCCTGTCCGTATTCAATAAACATGAAGAATGGTCAAACACATAAAGGAATGTACTTACAGTTCTTGTACAGTTAACGATTTTTTGCAAATTCAAGCAAAGTGTTCAACAAGTTTTGATTTTGTTGAGTTTGTGCTTCAAGCTCCTTGCTCCTTATTGCTAGCTCTTGCTTTCGAACTTCCAGTTCTTTAGTTTTATGTTCAAGCTCTTTATTTCTATACTCAATATCCTGATTCGCTTTATCTCTTAGAAATTCTACAACAGCTGTTTTCTTGGCTCTGAACGAATCGTTTCCTGATGCTTTTCTTTTTGCTGTTTCTCGAGCAGTTTCAAGTGCGACCAGTCTGACATCTTCTGCTTGACTTCTGTCCTCATCTTTAGCAGTTTTTTCCTTTTCTCGGTCCTCTTCTTGACTCCCAAAAAGAGCAACAGCTTCCTCAATGGCGTCTTCAAGCTCACTTGGCTCATCGGTGCCAATGCCGGAAGCATTAATTTCCTCTCTCTCCTTCTTTTTGTATTTTTTTGCTAACAAGTTATAGCGATCGCGTACAGCCCTGATGTCCTTCAAGTTGAAGACTATATCTGCTCTTGAATTTAAATTGTCGACGATTCTTTCTTAAACTAGTCCTATTCGCCTCGAACCTTTAGGATTATCAAAAGGACGTTCTGTTAAAATTTCTTTAATCAACTCGAGGTCATGTTGATCAGTCCACTTCATCGCTTTGATCATGACTTGAGATTTACTGCTAAACAACATAAAACTTGAGTTAAATTACCGAAAGTTGGTTAAACAGAATATCGTTTACGTAAAAAAGCTTACCTTTGCTTGTTCGTTTCGGCCATCATGCAGAAAAAGGCACAAAAACCAGACGTTGTCAGCACAACGCCAAATCACTCAAACTGGCGTTGTCGGGAGAACGCCAACGTCCAGACAACGTATATTCGTGACTTAATTATGATAATTATGTAAAATTATGCAAGTCCCAGGTCGCCGTCGCCACTTCCCGTCGCGTT